GAGAAAGTGGGGATTTGGGGTTTGGGGGATTTTGAATGGGGAATTGAGGATTTAGGGTTTGGGATGGGAAACCCAGAGGGGAGCTGGGGGGAGTTTGTGCCCAGAGGAACACAAACTGCTCCTGAATCCCACTGATTTCTCCCACTTTTCCTGCTTCCCCCCGTCCAGGTCGGACAAAACCCTCCAGGACATCGTGTACAAGCTGGTCCCGGGGCTTTTCAAAGGTACAGCCAAGGATGGGGAGAATTTGGGAATTTGGGGTGTTTGTAACTCATTCCCATTCCCCTGAATTCCCGGGATCTTCCCAGGGATTTCCCATTCCCACAGGGACAGCAGGACACATGGACATGGCACCCATCCCAAACTTTGGGACAGTCTGGGAGCAGGAGCTGTGGATTTGCTCCGAGTGCCTTAGGAATGGGAAAAAGTTCAGGATTTGGGGTGTGGGGACCCAAAATCCCTCAGGATTGAGTGCCACTCCAGGGTTTATGGGATGGCTCCTGCTGGAGCTCCCACAGGAATTTCCTGGGCATTCTGGGGTGTCCTCTGTGCCCCCTTGCTGTCATCCTCCCCAGGGACAGCTGTCCCCACTCATGTCCCTGTCCCCATCCCTGTTCCTGTCCCTGTCCCTGTCTCCATCCCTGTCCCTGTCCCTGTCCCCATACCTGTCCCTGTCTCTGTCACCACAGATGAGATGAAGAGGAGGCGTGATTTCTACGCTGCGTACCCGGTGGCCGAGGGTGAGTGTCACATGTCTCAGTGTCAGTGTCACATGTCACAGGGTCACAGGGTCACAATGTCAAGTGTGAGTGTCAATCTCACAGTGTCAGTGTCACAGTATCTGTGTCAATGTCACACTGTCAGTGTCGGTGTCACAGGGTCAGTGTCAGTGTCACACTCTAGGTGTCAGTGTCAATGTCCCCGTATCCCAGCCTGTGTCCCTGTCCCGCAGTTCCCCTGGGCTCACAGGAGGTGCGTGGCGAGGTGGCTGAGCGGGACCAGGGCGTGGGGCCCGAGGATGAGATCGTCAGTCTGTCCATTGAGTTCCACCGGGACTGCAGGTATGGCCAGCTCCAGTACCACCCGGGGCTCTGGGTACTGCCCGGAGCCCTGGAACCGCCTACGGCTCCCTGTCCCCAGCAGTGCCATCCCTGATCCCAGTGTGATCCAGATCACAGCAGTGCCATCCCTCATCCCCCTTTCCCCAATCCCTGTCCTGTGTCCCGCTCCAGGGAAGAGCAGAAAGGCGCCGTGGAGAACGGGGACCTGGACAAGGACAAGGTGAGCAAGAGGTGGCACCTCGGTGGCACTGTGGTGGCACAGAGCCATTGGTGCCCAGCTGCCTTGGAGGGGTCCTGCGGGGCACAGGGGGACAGCCCAAACCCAGGACACCCCAAACCCCACATACCCCAAACCCAGGTCTCCCCAAGCCCCAGGACTTTCCAAACCTGGGACACCACAAACTCTAGACACTCCAAACTGGGACTTCCCAAACCTGGGTCACCCCAAACCCAGCACTCCCCGAATCGTGGACACCCCAAACCTTGGACCCCCCAATCCCCAGGACTCCCCAAACCTGGGACATCCCAAACCCGGGTCACCCCAAACTCGGATCACCCCAAACCCAAGACTCCCCCAAATCCTGGACTCTCCAAACCTGGGTCATCCGAAACCTGGGACACCCTAAACCCGGTGCTCCTCAGGCCCCGCCATGCCCGCTGAGCCCTGGGACACGCCGAACCCGGATCCCCCCAAACCCAGGACATCCCAAACCCGGGTCCTCCTAAGCCGGGTCCCCCCAGACCCGGTCCCCCAGAGCCGTCCCTCCCCAGGTGCTGCCGTGCCTGCCCAGCCCTGGGCTGCGGTTCCTGCGCTGCCCCGCGGCCATGACCGTGCTGCACCTGGCCAAGTTCCTGCGCAACAAGATGGACGTGCCCAGCAAGTACCGGGTGAGCAGCACTCTGGAACCTTCCAAAATAGTCAGAAATGTTCAGGAACACTCAGGAACATTCTGGAATGTGTGTTTGGGAATGGTCGCAAATGGTCAGGAATGTTCCGGAATGTTCCAGAATGGTCAGGAACGTTCAGAAATGATCAGGAATGTTTGGGAGTGCTTCTGAATGTTTGGGAATGTTTGGGAATGGTCGGGAATGCTCAGGAATGATTGGGAATGCTTTGGAGCGCTTGGGAATGCTTTGGAGTGCTCAGGAATGCTCGGGGGGGCATTGCCTGGATTCTGCCATGCTCAGCTCAGCTCAGAGGGGCCGTTTTGTCTCCTCAGTGTTGCCTCCACTGCTGATTCCTGCTTGTCCCAAATATTCCTGCTGGGCTGTCCCTTCCCTGGGGCTGGAGCCTTCTTTTTCCCATGGCCAGATCCATCCTTTCCCTGAGTCTGGATCTTTCGTTTCCCTGGGTTTGGATCCCTAATTTCTGGGGGTTTGGATCCCTCCTTTCCCGGGGTCTGGATCCATCCTTTCTTGGAGTTTTTCCTGGGGTTTGGATCCATCCTTTCCTGTCTCCAGGTGGAGGTGCTGTATGAGGATGAGCCCCTGAAGGAATATTACACCCTGATGGACATCACCTACATCTACCCCTGGAGGAGGGTGAGTAAATGGGGAAACTGGGAAAACCAGGAAAAGCTGTGCTGGGAATACTGGGAAAACCTGTACTGGGGAAACTGGGAATATCTAGACTGGGAAAACTGGGAAAATCTGGTTTGGGGGGATAAAACAGGGAACCTGTCCTGGAAAAATCTGTCCTAGAGGAAAAGTGGGAAAATTGGTCCCGGGGAGCTTTTCCCATAACAAATCCCAGAGGGGGGGGGAATTGGTGGCAGTGCAAGCGTTCCCAGGGCATTGGCGGTGGCAGTGCTGGTGTTCCCACGGTGTCCCCAGGGAATGGGGGGTGGCAGTGCCAGTGTCTCCACGGTGTCCCCGCGCACTGCCAGTCGTACCCCGTGTCCCCAGAGTGGTCCCCTGGCACTCAAGTACCGCGTCCAGCCTTCCTGCAAGCGGCTCAAGCTGTGCCCGGCGCTGCCATCCGAGGGCACCAACACTAGCGGCGCCTCCGAGTGCGAGTCGGGCAGTGATAAAGCGCAGAGCCCCGGGCTGGCGTCGCCCTCCGGGCTGGCGTCGCCCCCTGCCCTGCCCAGCCCCGGGCACGGCCCCCCTAGGCCTGCCCTGAACGGCTCCGCCTCGAACTGTCACCAGCTGCCACCCAGCTGCCACCCGGTGCCACCCGCCCGCGGCCGCAAAACAGCCCTGAACGGCAGCGCGGGCTCGGCCCTGAGCTAAAAATCTCTGGGCGCTGCTGGAAACCCTCCTGGAACTCTGGAAAATCATCCTGGGATTCTGAAAATCCTCCTGGGACTCTGGAAAATCTTCCTGAGACTCTCAAAACCCTCCTGGACTCTGGAAAATCCTCCAGGGACTCCTACAACCCCTCCAGGGACTCTGAAAAACCCTGCAGGGGCTGCTAAAAATCCTCCTGGAACTACTAAAAATCTTCCTGGAACTCCTGCAGACCCTCCAGGGACTGCTAAGAACCCCCAGGGATTCCTAAAAATCCTCCTGGGATTCTTAAAACCCCTCCAGGGATTCCTGAAACCCCCTGCAGACCTCTATAAATGTGGGTGTGTACATAGGGACAGAGCAGAGTTCTACAGAATTATTTTCTAATTTAAAAACGTAGAGAAGATGCAGAAATGGCAGCACATATTTTTAAATGTGCTTTGGGTTGGTTTTGTTTGGTTTTTTTGTTTGGTTTTGTGGGTATTTTTTGTGGGGCTTTAAGGTTTGTGTTTGACTTGTGGAAGCTGCAGGCCCCTCCCTCATCCCACCCCAGGAGCTGGGAGCTGACATACTCCCAAATTCCCACATTCCCAAATTCCTAAATTCCCACATTCCCATGTTCCTCCATTCCCACATTCCCACTTTTCCCAGAGGTTTTTCCCTCTCCTCCTCCTCCCTCTCCACCAGGGCCATGGCTGCACAGGTGAGGGCCAAGCACAGAACCCAAAACCCCAAAAGCCCCAAAAACCCAAAACCCCAAAAACCCCAACCACCTCCCCAGCCTCCCTGGACTCTGCTGCAGGGTTCTATTTCCCAATTTTGGGTTTTTTTTGTTTTTTTCATGGGCTTTCACACCCCACCTTGGAGCTCCCAGCTCCAGCAGCTCCAGCTGTTCCCAGATCTCATCCTGGGTATTTTTGGGGGGATTTCTTTGTTTTCCCTGTGGGCTCTGCCCTTCTGCACAGTAAATTCGGGGGTTTTGGGGATATTTTCCTCCAGCTTGGTGGTGGCAGCACAAATCCCCTAGATTATTTTCTCTTCCCAAAGTCCTGATGGCTCCAGGAAAATTTGGGGGCACCCAAAGGTTGGGATGGAGCTGCTCCCTGTTTCCCATGATATCAATTTTCTTTTTTTTTTTTTTAATTTTGTTTTGTTTTGTTGGGGTTTTTTTTGTGGTTTTTTTTTGTTGTTGTTGTTTTTGTTTTTTGTTTTGTTTTGTTTTTGGTTTTTGTTTGGTTGGTTTTTTTTGTTTTTTTTTTTTGTTTTTTTTTGTGTGTATCGCCCTTCTCAGCCTTTCCTCCTGTCCTCACGGTGCGTTTGTAATAAAAGAAAATAAAAATAAAAATCAGGTTTCAGCACCTTTGGCCAGGAGGCTCCAGAGAGGGGCGAGCATAGGAAGGGAGCAAATTCCTGCAGGGAATGAAGCAATTCCTACGTGGAATTAAACAATTTCTCTGCGAAATTCAACAATTCCTGTGTCTAGTTCAACAATTCCTGCAGGGAATTCAACAATTCCTCTGTGGAATTCAACAATTCTTCCAAGGAATTCATCAATTCCTCTGTGAAATTAAACAATTCCTGTGTGGAATTCAGCCATTCCACTGCCCGGCCCGGGGACACTGCCCGGGCTGGGCAGGGCCATGATTTGGGTTTGGGTTAGGGGGCGTTTTGGTGTCGGGTTTCCCTCTCAGTACATCCCAGACTGCTCGGTGTGTTCAGGTCACGTTTATTGTCTTGGTGATGATCCCAATCTCCGGGAACGATCCCAATCCCTGGGAATAACCCCGTTCTCCAGGGCTTGTCTTCGGTTCAACCTTTGCAAACCGGCTTTGGAAATGAACAAACACCACAGGGGCAGCTGCCCAGAGCCTCCTGAAAGATCCCACAGAGCCTCCTGCCAAACCGCACAGAGCCTCCTGCCAAATCCCACTGGCGTCTCCATTCCAAATCCCACAGATCCCACAGAGCCCAAATCCCACAGAGCCTCCTGCCAAACCCTACGTCCTGCAGGTCCCCTCATCTCAAACCCCACAGGCTCCTCCTGCCCAAATCCCATTGGCCTCTGCATCCCAAATCCCACAGGTTCCTCCATTCCAAACCCCACAGGTGCCCCACCCCAGGGCTCTCACACCTCCAGGCCCCTCCCTCCAATCCCACTGTCCAGGGGCTGATTTGGGGTCCGGGGCGGCTCCCGGCGTTCCAGAATCAGGATTTCATTGGGGTTTGGAGCCTCTCCTCCCCCCCGTGCGGCCGTGACGAGGTCGGGATGGGGATCCCGGTGCTGCCGGTGCTGCCGAGCCCCGCTCAGGAGCGGGGGGGCAGCGGCGCCGCCTGCACCGCGTCCTCCCGGTGGGAGCCGTCGCAGTACGGGGGCCTCCGGGTGCGTTTGCAGCCGCAGAGCAGCGCGGGGCCGGTTTGGGTGGGGGTGAAGAGCAGCGAGGACAGCCCCGGGGCCTCCTTCTTGTGGGAACCATCACAGAAGGGCTGCGGACAAACGGGAACGGCGTCAAGCAGGGGTTTGGGGGTGGGCGGATGCTCCCGCGGGGCCACTGTGACCATCCCATCCCATACCCGGAGCCCCCGGACCCGCCAGAGCCCCCCGGGGGTTCCCAATCCCAGATCCCCCGGAGCCCCCCGGGAGCCACCGCGGAGTCCCCGACCCGAGAACGCCCTGGAACCTCCCGGGATCCCAGTTCTCCTGTCCCCCCCACCCCGGTTCTCCTAGACCCCCCGATTCTCCTGGACCCCCCCCAGTTCTTCTACCCCCCTCCCCCCCCGCGGTTCTCCCGGTCCCCCCGGTTCTCCCGAGTCTCCCCGCCCGACCTGGCGCTTGCTGTGCCCGCAGGCGCACCAGCCGTAGGTTTTCCCCGCCTGCAGCTCCACCGGGAACGGCTCCTTGGCGGCGATCACCGGCTGCGGGGGGGGCGCGGAGCAGAGCGACGGGACCCGCGCCCCCCTCGAGGGGTCCCGGTACCGGCGGCCGCCCCCTGCCGCCCTCATCAGCGAAAGGAGCGCGGCCGCTCTGGGCCGCAGCATGGTCCCGGCGCCGCTCCCGGTGACCTTCCCCGTGCGGCTCCTCCTCCTCCTCCCGGCGCCACCGGAAGAGCCGGGCGGGCCCGGCGGGAGCGCGGCTGCTCCGTGTGGGGCCGTTCCGAGCCAGGCTTGGTACCGCTGCCTCTGCGGGCGAGTGGTCCCGGGGCTCGGTACCGCCGCCCCCCCACGTCACCCGCCTCCGGTGCCGGTCCCGGTCCCGCTGCTCCATCTCAGTGCCCGGTCCCGGTTCCCAGTGCCGGTCCCGGTTCCCGCTCTCAGTCACGGTGCCCGATCCCACTCCGGTACTCGCTCCCAGTAAGCGATCCTGATTCCCGTTCCCATCACCGGTCCCTGTCCCGCTGCTCCATCCAAGTGCTGATCCCGATTCCCGATCCCGGTCCCAGTCACGATTCCCGATCCCTCTGCACGGTCCCGGTGCCCGGTCCCCCCCTGCCCAATCCTGTTACCCACTCCCAGGGCCCCAGTCCCCGTCCAGATCTCAATCCCAGTGCAGGGTCCCAGTTCCCATTCCCGATGCCCACTCCCACTGCCCCATATCCCAGTCTGTCCTGATCCCGGTGCGGCTCCCTTTCCCAGGCATAACACCTGGCTCAGGAGCACATCCCTCCCTCTCTGTGCCTCAGTTTCCTCCCTGAAGCCCCTCGGGCCTTCAGCCTCGGCCCTGGGAATTCCCGGAATCCTGGCTGGGAGAGCTTTTCCAGTGGGAATTCCCGGAATCCTGGCTGGGAGGGCTTTTTCAATGGGAATTCCCAGAATTCTGTCTGAGAGTGGCTTTTCCAGTGGGAATTCCCGGAATCCTGACATGGGAGTGGCTTATTCCATGGCTCCAGACCCGATTTTGGGCAAGAAAGGGGCCAAAGCAGGGGCAGGACAAGCCTGTGGATTTGGGGCTTCCAAGGAATAAATCCTTGGAAAAGAGGAGGATTCAGGAGCTGCTCACCAGCACAGCAAGAGGATTTGGGATTTAATGGGGGCAATCATTGGGGTTTCTTTGGGAAAACTCCTCCTTTTTGCACTCATTTCTGCCTGGGTACCATCCCTGACTTGGGATTCCTTCACACATTCCCAGCACCAGGCAGGGGATTCCCATTCCCATTTAAATTTGCCCCCTTTATCCTTATTAAAAACCAACTCGCAATTAATATTAATATTAATATTAATATTAATATTAATATTATTTATTATAATAAAGACCAGTCAAGCAGAGTGAAAAAAATATATCTTGGCTACATTACCTTAAATTCACAAAAATATACACATTTTTCTCTTTCATTTAATATTAAAAAACCACCAAACAACCTAAAAATGAATAAAATAAAGAAAAAACACAAAAGGATACATGCAACAATCCTAAATGAGAGCATCAAAACGGGTAAAGAAACGTACCCCAGTGCAACTGAAACACAGATCATCTTTAGCTTTTCCTTTTTTCCTTTCCCTTCCCCCTGCTATCCCGTTTTTGTTTTTTTTTTCCACAGGGATTCACCTGGAATTTCCCAGCTCCCCCTTCTCACTCTGCCCAAGGGACATTTGGGGTGGCTGGAGGTGACAATTCCCGGGGTTTGGGAGCCTTTGGAAGGTTGGGCACAGGGAGAGGTGTAAGTGCTTTCTGTCCCTGATCCCCGAATCCCAGAATTCCTGGGGAGCCAGAGGGATCCAGCTCTGGGAACTCCTGGATCCAGCTCTGGGAATTCCTGGAGAACCAAGAGGGATCCAGCTCCCCGGGTTGTGATCCTGCCTAAAAAACCCCAAATTCCCAGCTTTCCTTCCTCTTCCAAAGCCTGGGCTCCCCAGCATTCCCGCAGGAGCCAATTCCAGCATTTCCAGACTCTGCGGAAATGTGCCCTAAGTGCCTCTCACTGACCCCTTTGGTGCCTTGGGCTTGTCCAGGGATTTGGGCACCGACCCGAAATCGGGGATGATCCCAACTCGGATTTTGGGTGTCCTGGGGGAACAATTCCCTTCCCAGCCCTCCCTCCCTGCTCCTCACAGGGATCTCTAAACTCCCGGGGCTGGATTTTGCAAGAACTGGGACATATGGGCACAACTTTGGGGTTATTTGGGCTGCAGATGGGGCTGGAGGCTGTGGGCAGCACTCCAGGGATTTGGGATTCCAGAGCAATGCGGGGATTTGGGATTTGTGATAAAAAGCAAAAAATAAATTAAAATAAACCCCAACTCCTGGCTACACCCAGCTGGCAGAGCCCCCTGCCCATCCTCCTGCTGGCCCAAAGCTGGGATTTGGCTGTCCCCAAATCCCGAGGATCTGCCGGATGGCAGGCACAGCTACCCCACACCAAAACAGGCTGGGGGACAGCCCCAAAATTCCACATTTTAGCCCCAGTTTGTGACTTAATTTGCTTTCATCATCACTGCCAAGCCCGAGGCTCCTCAGGAGGGAGGTGGAGGGGACCTGGGGTCCCCGTGCCAGGGGTGTCCCTTTACCAGGGGTGTCCCCATGCCAGGAGGATTTTGGGTGGCACCTCCAGGGGTGCCAAGGAAAGGGGAATGACCCAGCACAGGGTGGGGGGAAAAAGAGAAAAATCCAAAGGAATTTCAAAGTGCAAGAAGGGAATTGTGCCGGAGCAGGTTTGGGGACGGGGATCCCAAAGGATGGGGCTCCCCAACAGCTTCCAAAGCTTGTTATAACCTCTGGATAGATAAATCCCATTATATATTTAATGTATATTTCTATTTCTGAGCAGCCAGCAGCTCTGTCCTGTTCAGAGCTCCAAGCTGGGAGCAGAAAGGGTTTGGTATTATTTTTTTCTCTGGTTTTTTTTTTTTTTTTTTCTTTTTTAAGACAACCCTTGTGGTGTGAATCTTAGAGAAAAAAAACAAATAAAACAAAATAAACGTTTAAAAAAGGAAATTCAGTGGAGGATTTCGCCTGGGGCGAGCTTTGCCAGCACCATCAGCGCAGCCCCACTGCTGATAACAGGAATAGTGCAAAGCAGGAAGGGCAGTGGGGATGTGCTAAACATGCATGAAGGTCCAAAATTTGGGATTTGGGGCTCTCCCAAAGGAGTTTCCGTCAGCTGGAGCATTCCCAGGAGTCCTGGATTTACTAGGGATGAATGAAGGAGGGGCATTGGTGCATTTGGTGTTGGTGTTCCCCTTCCCAGAGCTGCTCTGACTGTCCTTCCTTCCTTCCTTCCTTCCTTCCTTCCTTCCTTCCTTCCTTCCTTCCTTCCTTCCTTCCTTCCACCCATCCATCCATCCATCCATCCCAGCTCAGAGGAAGCCGATCCCCAGTAGATATTCCAGGCTGGAGATGGAATCAAGGTCAAAAGGTGGAGAACAATGGAACTTCTGCCATCCCAGGCTCAGGACTGTGGTCACTGTCCCATTCCTTGGAGATCCCTCTTCCCAGGATCAGTGGAAGAACGTGGTTTTGTGGGAATGATTTGTGGTGGGTGGGAAAACGCAGGGACCGCATTTGGGATTCTCCTCCCCACAAAGATTTTCATCTCCAAACTCTGGTCCAGGAATCCTCTCCCAGGTCCAGGAGCTCCTGACCTTAGACAATTCCAGCTGTGGCCCCAGCTGAGATGTTGGCCTTCGGGAATTCCAGGAGGGAAGGACAGCCCCGTCCCTCCGGCAGCTGGCACAGGTGACAACATCCTCCCAGGTGGTGCCACCTCCTTCCCACCTCTGTCCATCCTCATCCATCTGTCCTTCCAGGCTGGATCGTCTTCCAGCTGGAGCAAAGCCCAGTGGGAAAAGCAGGGAAACCTCAGCTTGGGAATTCATCTGGATGTCCCCATCTGGGCATGGCCACCATGTCCTCCCTTGGCAGTGCCACATCCAGGGCCACATCCTTGGACACCGCCAGGTGACATCACATCCTTGCCCAGCAGTGCAACATCCAGTGTTGGCTCTTGGGACATTGCCGGGTGCCACCATGTCCCTTCTCCAGCAGTGCACATCCTTGGGCACCTCCAGGTGCCACCACATCCTTCCCTGGCAGTGCCACATTGAGAGTCCCATTCTTGGGCACCTCCAGGTGCCACCACGTCCTTCCCCGAGGCTCTGGGGGGTCTCTGTTACCGTGGGCGCTCCCCACGCTCCTGGCAGGATCCACTGGAGTCCCCTCCAGCACATGGAGCAGGGGACAGGTGACCCCACCTTCACTCCTGGTGGCACTGGGGCGGTGACAGCCGCTGTGGCTCCCAAGGCTCCTCCTGGGCCATTCCTGGAGCTCTGGGCTCTGCTGGTGCCGCGGGGAAGCCGCGGTCCCCGGGAGAGGATTGGCTGCGGGCTCGGGGCCGGGGGACTCCTAGCCCTTGTCCTGCGCCAGGGGAGCGCCCTTGTCACCCAGGGGCTGTGGGGACAAACGGGGACACGGCTGGATCAGAGGGGACATGGACTGGCGGGACGGGGACTGGGGGAGGAAGGAATTGCAGGGACAGGAATCAGGGCAAGGGGACAGGGATTGGGGGACAGGGACTGAGGGACAGGGGTTGAGGGTCAGGGACTGGAGAAGGAAGGAATTGCATCCTTCCCCAGCTGTTCCCATGCTGTCCCCAGGGCTGTCCCCAGACTATCCCCACACTGTCCCCACCCTGTCCCAGCCTGTCCCCAGCCCCAGCCCATGCCAGCCCCCTACCCACCGTTCCTTTCGGGGCACTGCCGTCGGGCTGCAGGCTCAGGAAGGGGTTGGGGGCCATGGCCGGCCCCGAGCCCAGCGGGGGGGTGGCCTGGGGGGCCAGCAGGGTCCCGCCGGGGTTCAGCTGCTGCGGGGACAGCGAGGCCAGCAGGGAGCTCCCGCTGGGCGCGGCCGAGGTCAGCAGCGTGCTGGGGCTGGGGTGCAGCGGGGCCGAGGTGGCGGCCAGCAGGGACAGCTGGGACGAGCCCGACATCTGCAGCCGCTGCAGCTCCCGCTTCTGCTGGATCTGCTGCATCATCTGGAACACCAGCGCCTGCTGCTCCTGTGGGAACAGCCGGGACACGGCTCAGAGCAGGGATAGAGCGGGGATAGCACGGGGACAGAGTGGGGACAGAGCGGGGACAGAGCAGAGATAGAGCGGGGATAGAGCAGGGACAGAGCAGGGACAGAGTGGAGACAGAGTGGGGATAGAGCGGGAACAGAGCGGGGACAGAGCAGGGACAGAGAGGACACAGTGGAGACAGAGTGCTCTGACACAAATCCTCTACAATTCAAACCCATCAATGCAGCAATTTCAAATCTGTGGAATTCACCGTCCCGAAATCCCAAACTGGCTCTGAATTCCTTCCTGAATTCCAGGTGAGCGGGACCCAGGGGAAGCAGGCTCAGAGCTCACGTGCATCCCAAGGGATGCCCTGAAATCCAGGAAAACCTCCCTGAAATCCGGGAAAACCACAGGAATCACTATGGCAACCATCGACCCTCGTGGCAGCTGGAGCTGCCATTGTCCTGTCCCTGTGGGTGACACGGTGACATCAGCTGCCCTCGGAAATTGGCTTTTCCTGGGATATAAAAATAGCCTGACCCAGAAATGCATCCAGAGCAGCAAGCTGGGCTCCTGGGTGGAACGGGCACAGCCCAGCCCTGGTGATAGCGCTAGTGGCACTCCCGTGTCACCCCAGGCAGGGTGGGGACAGCGCCAAGGTCTCTGCAAGGCCAGGGGCTGGGGTTTGCCACCTCAGGGACCTGTTGTCACCTCTCCATCTCCATTCCCAGGACAGGGGGTGCAGGCAGGGAGCCAAGAACCCCAGAGCAGTCACCTTTTGGAGGCCTTTCAGTAACCCCAAAACCCTGAGCCAGCTGTGGAGCCCCCTGGGCACCTCCAGCTCTCTGTGTGGATGTGTTCACACACGGCTGAGCTGCCTGGGATTGAAACAATTCAGGTTTTATCTCTCTCTAACCCCCAGCAGGGTCCTTGGCATGTTCTGCCTCTCCTGTTGGCCCACGACACCTGGGAGCCCGGGGCCAGCCTGGGATCCAGTAGGATTTGCATCCTGGGATGCATCTCCAGGGGGGAACGGCTCTCCCAGTTTCCCCTTCTCGGTTTCCCGGAGCTCCCACCTTCTCACCCCCTCAGGATGTGGCAAACTCAGATTAAACTTCTTTCCTTTGGTATAAAAAGAGCCCAAATCCCACCTCCCTGGGAGCTGCCACACCCCCAGCCCGGAGCTTTGATCCTCAGGATTTGGGATGCTTCCTCATCCTAAATTCCCAAACCAGCTCTGAATTCCCTCACCCAGCCCATAGTGGGTTCAGACTCAAAAGGCTCAGAGGATTCAAGGACAGGAGAGAACCTCCAGTTTATATTTCAGATTTTCCTCTCTGTTCTGAGTTTTTCCCAGCACCACCAGCCTCCCCTCCCCTCCGTCCCTTACCGGGTTAAGCGGCTGGGAAGTCAGGAGCTGCTGCAGCTGCTGGAGCTGCTGCTCGTGCTGCTGCAGGACGTGCCGCTGCTGCTCCGTCAGGGGGCTCAGGCTGGCCACGCTGCGGGAAGACAGAGAGACACAGCAGCTGAAAAGACTTCCTTCCATGCCCAGCAGCATCCCAGGTGCAGGAGTGAGGGAGGATCGTATTTGTGAGAAGCAACATTTGGCAAGAGCTGGGAAACGCCTTGGCTGAGCTCTCCAGCTCTCTGCGGGACCACGTGCAGGTAAATTCACCAGGGATACATGGATAATTCCGCAGCTTGTGAAGGACCAGGGGTCCAATTTAGTGGCTGCTAAAATTCCTGCTGGTCCACTCCCTATGGACACAATGGCTGGTGAACATGGGGCACTAAGCCAGGCTCTCCAGCGCGGCCAGAACCGCTCCCTCCCTCCCTCCCCGGAGCTGAGCTGGGCTGCAGAGGGCAGCGCCGTCCGTCCTCACCTGCTCAGGCTGGTGGAGAGCTGCAGGGCCGGGGCCGCGCTCAGAGGCGGGGCGGGCTGCGCTCCGTTCAGGCTCCCCAGGATCCCGTTGAGCGGCATCTGCTGGGCTCCGGCCAGGCTGCCCAGCAGGCCGTCCACCATGGGCACCGCCGAGAGGCCGTGGCTGCCCCCCGAGGCTCCGGCCAGCCCCCCGCCCGCCGCCCTGGCCAGGCCGTTCACCTGCTGCGCCCCGGGCAGGGGCAGCGAGGCGGGGCTGGGCTGCAGCATGGGCAGGGGCGGGGGGGTGCTGTGGAAGGACAGGGAGGAGCTGCTCCTGCTGGGACAGCCCGAGTGAGGGTCCTGGGGGAGAAACGGACACAGAGCATCGGGCTGGGGCGGCTGCCCCGGGGCAGCTCGGGGTGGGAAGGGGGAAGCTCGGGTGGCTCGAGTGTGAGGGGTCCCAGAACTCAGAGGGGTCCCAGAGCCCTGCTGGATGTCCAGGATCACCTGGAAGCGCTCTCACCTGGCGCTCCAGCTCTCAGCTACTCTATCCGCTGCATGGAGAACCTGATCTCTGAGCCTGGGCTAGCAGGATTTACCAGCTGGCTACTGAGCCCTGGGGCTGCTGCGCTGCCCCTGCCCGAGGCCCTGCCCGGCCGCCGGTGCCCGCAGGGGCCGCTGTACCTCGGAGGACGTGGAGAGCGAGTTCTCGATGCCGAAGCTATTCTTGCACGGGGGGCTCTTGCTGATGCTCAGGGAGTCACCGCCGCAGACTGGGAGGGGAGAGGGGCGAGGCAGCAGAGTCAGGGCTGGACCCTGAGGTGGCCGTGGGACAGATCCTGCCCTCTGTGACCCTTCGGCCACCCCCGGGGCACAAGAACACGTCCCTGGGTGCCCTCAGTTTCGGTGCCCTCAGCCCTGGTGCCCTCACCATTGGCGGGCAGGATGTACTGGGACTGGCTGCCCGGGCCGTTGCTGCTGGTGACTACGGGGAAGGGGACGGACAGCTGGACATTGAGCAGCTGCAGCCGCTCCTTCTTGGCCGTCAGCGTCATGATCTGCTCCTGCAGCCGCTGGTTCTCCTTCTGCAGCGAGTGCAGTGCCTTCAGCATCTCCACAACTGTGGGGGACGGAGGGAGGGCAGGAACAAATGGAGGAGAGGGAAGGGAGGAAAGAGGAAAGGGGATCACAGGATTCCCAATCAAACCCCAGAGCAGGAGGGACTGGCCCCACAGCGCTGCACCCCATCTTACCCCTGGCACACACTGGGGCTTTGTCGACGCCCAGCTCCGCTGCCCTCGGGCACAACCCCAAAATCCCAGCGGCTCCCACCCCGAGAGCCCCAGGAGCTGCCCCGCCGCCCCCCGGCCACACTCACTGTTCACCCCGGCCTCGCCGTTGCCCTGCTTCTCCAGGAGCTGCTCGATGTTGGGGGTGGCCTGCGGGACATTGTCCAGCTGCCCGCTGCTGCTGCACGACACGGTCTGGTCGAAGAGGGTCGGCAGGCTGCTGATGGGGGACCTGGGGGGGCCGGGGGCGTCAGGGGGACCCTGCTCCACTCCCGGCTCCATTCCTATTGAATTCCCGCTCCATTCCTGTTCCATTCCCTGCTCCCATGGCTCCTCAGCCTGGCGCCGAGTGGCCGCAGCCCTCCGGGTCCTGCCATCCCATCCCATCCCATCCCACCCCGTCCCGTCCCGTCCCGTCCCGTCCCGTCCCGTCCCATCCTATCCCATCCCATCCCACACCCCAAGGAGCGGGGCAGGAGCTGTTTCAGTCCCCCCCAGGCTGTGCCCTGTCCCCGCTGTCCCCATGGTATCCCCGCTGTCCCCAGGGACACTCACATGGAGGACAGGCTCTCCTGCGGGGACGTCCCTCGGCAGCCGAAGCCGCAATCCTCCAGGTCAGGCTCTGCGCGGGGACAGGGACAGAGGGCCCGGGGTCAGCGGCGCCCGGTGCCCGGTGAGTGCTCGGTGTGTGCCCGGTGAGTGCCCGCTGGGGGGCACCGGGTGGTGCCGAGCGGCATCAGAACCCAGCAGTCCCGGGAAGTACCGAACTGCACCGAGCAGCACCGAGCAGCACCGGTACCAAGCCTCACCGAGCAGCCCCGGGCAGCACCGAGCGGCCCCGGGCAGCATCGCACCGAGCAGCGCCGGCCCCGCGCTGCGCAGGGCGGCCCCGCCGGCGCCTCCCCCGGGGAGGAGCCGCTGGCACCGCCTGGCACCTCGGCACGGTCGGGGCGGTCACCCCGGCAAGGTCACCCCGGCGCCGCTCTGCGCCCGGCCAGGCGGAGCTCTGCAAAGCCTGGAGCCGGTTTTGCCGGAGCCGCCGGGGGACGGGGCCGCAGGGAGGGAAGGAGGGACAAATCCCGTGCCAGGCCCTGCCCCCGGCCCCTGGCCCCGGCTGGATGCGGTAATCCCAGGGGATCGGCTGTCAGTCTCCAGGGAGTGACAGAATCAGGTTGGAGCAGAGCTTTAATGTCAGCCGGGATTGAGGATCCTTCCCCCAGAGCCGGCCCGGGTTCCTGGAGGTTTCCAAGTGCTCCCTAAGGAGCTTCAAGGGAATCATGGAATGGTTCGGGTTGGAAAAGCCCTCCAAGGTCAGGAGGGCAATCATTAACCCAGCCCAGCCCTACTCCCACTCAGCCTGTTCCCAAGTGCCACATCCACGCAGTTTGGAACACTTCCAGGGACGGGGACTTGTTCCAATGCCTGACCACCCTTCCCATGAGGAAATTCCCCAATATCCAACCTAAACGTCCCCTGGCCCAGCCTGAGGCCATTCCCTCTCCTTCTGTCCCCATTCCCTGGGAGCAGACCCCAGCCTCCATGGCTGTCTCCTCCTGTCAGGGACTTGTGGTGATCCAGAAGGTCTCTCCTGACCCTCCTTTTCTCCAGGATAAACATTCCCAGCTCCCTCAGCCACTCCTGGCACTTCAAACCCTTCCCTGGCCACGCTCCAGTCCCTCCATGCCCTTTTTGGGAGGATCCTAAAACTGCCCCCAGGATCTGAGCTGTGCCCTCAGCAGTGCCCAGCTCAGCTTTGGCATCCAGAACCTTCCTCCAGAGCCATCCCTGTGCCCCAGGAAATCTGGGATGGGGCTGCTGTGCACATGTGCAGGATATCTGCCATTCCAAGGGTAATCCAGGATAAATCCCATTTTTATCTTCCTATCCCTGGAACGCTCACTCCCCTTTTCCCTGGGCCCTGTCAGATGTGGTGGCTCCAGCCTCAGCTGCCTCCCTGCCCCTCCTCTCCTTTCCCACACATTCCCACGTGCAGGAATCCGGGAAATCTCCTGCAGGGAATGCCGGGATTCCTAACAGGATACCCAGAGCAGGGATTTCCTACTGCTGCTGGGAATGAGCAAACCCAGCTGGGGCTGGGCAGCTCCTCCAGACAGGGCTAGGGGATCCTGGCTCTTTGGGAATGTTCTACTGAGACACTCTTCCAGGCAGGAATAATCCATGTTATATCCATAATTCCTGGATGTGGCCAGAATCTCCCAGTGCAAGATCCTGGAGCAGCTTCCAGTGCTGGAATTGGCTCCAGGAGAGCTGGAGAGGGGTTTGGGACAAGGGAGGGATGAATAGGACATAGGGAATGGGTTTATACTGGAATAGGGCAGGGATAGATGGGGTTTTGGGAAGGAATTCCTCCCGGTGAGGGTGGGGAGGGGCTGGGATGGAGTTCCCAGAGAAACTGTGGCTGATCCATCCCTGAAAGTGTCCCAGGCCAGCTTGGAGCACCCTGGGGTAATGGGAGGTGTCCCCACCCATCTTTAACCCAACCCAAACCACGGGCACGCATTCCCCAGGAACACCCAATTCTCCAGGGACATTCATTTTCCAGGGTTACTCGTTATCCAGGGATATCCATTCTCCTGGGCCACTCAGTTATCCTGGGACATGCATCATTATCTACGGACACTCATTATCCAGGGCCACCCAATTCTCCAGGGCCACCTATTGTCCATGGACATTCATTCTCCTGAGACATTCATTTTCCAGAGATATCCATTCTCCAGGGATATCCATTCTCCAGGGTCACCCATCATCATCCAGGGCCACTCATTATCCAGGGACATCCAATTATCCTGGGACAGCCATTATCATCCAGGGACACTCATGATCCAGGGACACCCATTTTCCAGGGACACTTGTTATCCATGGACATTCATTCTCCAGGGACACCCATTTTCCAGGGGGCACCCATTCTCCAGGGACGCTCCCGAGGTGCAGTTGGCAAAGACACCATCCCTGTCCCCCCATGGCAGCTCTGGCTGTCACCCCGAGGGACAGCAGCTGGAAAAGCTGGGAATGCAGCGGCGGCCTCCTGTCCTGTCCTGTCCTGGTGGGAGAGCCCTTGGGAATGCCAACCCGGACATACCTGGGAGTTCACATACCTGCCCGGCTGCTCTCCGGCTGGCTGAGGAGGGGGTTCAGGGACAGCCCGGACGTCAGCGGGCTCCCAAAAATGTGCGAGGAAGGGAGGCTGAAGGTGGAACCCGCCAGGGAAAACACCTGCACGGGAAGCAGGAAAGTATCCTCATTATTGCAGCTCTTCCCAGCTCCCGTGTTAAAAATATCTCCTGGAAGTCTGGTGAGAGGCTTGGCACATTCCCAGAGCTGGCTGGGAGCCAGGAGCCCTGGGAATGGTGTGGATCCAATTGCTCTTCCCAGTGGAAGTGTTCCCAATCCTGAGTGTTCCCTGTCCCAATTGTTCCCATTCCCAAATGTTCCCTGTCCTGAGTATTCCCATTCCCAACTGTTCCCAGTCCTGACTGTTCACTGTCCCGACTGTCCCCATTCCCGACTGTCCCCAATCCTGACTGTTCCCAATCCCGACTATTCCCCGTCCCAATTGTCCCCAATCCCGACTGTCACCATTCCCGCGTGCCCCCAGTCCCGAGCCCCTGCCCGTCCCAGGCTTCACCTGCGTGGTGGATCCGGCGGAGGAGGAGGCGGGGATGGAGCTGGCGAAGGGCGAGCGGCTGAGCTGGGGCAGGGCGGAGCCGCCCTGGTGCGGGAGCAGCCCCGAGGGCAGCGGCGTGCTGCACACCGCCCGCAGCGCCGCGCCCAGCGGGATCGGGTCCTTGTTGCTCGTGTAGATCCCTGCGGGACACAGATTCCAATTTATCCCGCTAATCCCCAGGGAGAGATCCCTTCTGATCCCGCCTCTTCCCAGGGAGAGATTCCTTTTGATACGGCTTCTCCCAAGGGAGAGGAGATTCCTCAACTTTTGGGAAGCTGATCCAAGGGAGATTCCAGGGTGAAGGAAGAGGATGTGGATTTTTATGGATTCAGGAGACAGAACCCTGTGCAGGCAGGTCTGGACATGGCTAAACGCACTGGAAAATTCTGGAAAAGGAGGGAAAAGGGATCTGAGCACACCTGAATCCCTCAAGGGGGGACCCACCTGAGCCCAGCAGTGGCGACTCCATGCTGAGGCTGGGCAGACTCCCGGGGTGGCTGAAGCTCCGGGAAGAATTCCCGACGCTGGAGCTGACGAGGGATCCCCCGGAGAAGGGAGAGGAGGAGGTGGAGGTGGACCCAGCCAGCTGGGCCCCCAAAACCTCTTTGCCTTTGCCCGCCTTGGGCCTGCCGGGGCCGTGCTTGTTCTTCTTGCTGCCCTTGTGCTTCTTCTCCTTGAGCACCTCTCCCTCCTCGGCGCCCAGCGACGGCATCCGCTTGTGGCCACTCCCGGCGGCGCCAGCCGTGCCACCCGTGCCACCCGCGGGGCCACCAAGGGTGCTGGAGGCTTTGTAGTCCACGGGCGAGGCGTCGCGGGCTCGCGGCTGGCCCACAGCCGAGGTGGAGAAGCGCATGATGGAGCCGAAGCCGGAGAAGATGACCTTCTGCTCGAAGACGTCGGCCTTGGGGCCCTCAGAGAGCGGTGAGCAGTGCGAGGAGGAGCTGGAGCTGGCGGCCTTGCGGAACTTCTCGTCCTCCTGCTCCAGCTTGGGGAAGGGCGCGAAGTCCTGAGAGCCGGGCAGGCCGCAGGAGGAGCCTGGGGACACGTGGGGTCAGCCCGAGGGGCTGGGGAGGGGTCCTGGTGCTTCATTGCTCTCCTCCTTCTCCCTCATCCCTCTGCTTTTCTCCTTCATCCCTTGCCTCCTGTACTTCATCACTGTCTTCTTCCTCCTCCATCCCTCTCCTTTTCTCCATTCCTCCCCTCTTCCTTCCTCTCCTCTCCCATCTCTCCTCTCCCACCTTTCCCTCTCCCTCCTTCTTCTCCTTTTCCTCCATATTCATCCTTCCCCTCTTCTCCATCACTCCTCTTCCTCCTTCATCCCTCTCCTTTTCCTCCTCCATCCTTCTCCCTTTGTCCTTCATCCCTCCCCTCTTCCTCCCTCCCCTCTCTCCTTTCTTCTCCTTCCTCTCCCTCCTCCTTCTCCTCTTCCTCCTCCTCCATCCCCCTCCTTCCTCCTTCCTCCCTCTCCCTCTCCCTTCTCCTCCTCCTGCCCCTCACCAGCTGTCTGGAAGGTTCCCCCAGCTGGGGCAGATCCAAAGCCTGCGGAGCTTTTGCCGCTTCCCGTCTTCTTGCCCTTGTGGCTGCTGCCGTGGCTCGAGGATTTCCTGCCCTTGGCCTCTGCCCTGGCCACCTCTGAGCTCTCCTTGGTGGCCTCGTGGTGGCTGCTGGAGCCCTGGGAGGGGACAGACACTGGGGTGACCCCAGGGACCAGAGCTGGCTGCAGCCGGGGCTCCTTTTTTCCCCATTTTCCTGATTTTCCCATTTTTCCCAAATTTCCCGATTTCCACAATTTCTCCCCTCTGAAGTGGGAATTGCCCCCTCTGCCCACCCAGGGCTACTCAGCTCGGGTCGCTCCCCGCACAAAAGGGACTTTGGGACATCTCCTGCTGCTCAGTGGCGCCGAGAATTCCATCCCAGGGATTGGGCTCATCCCAGGAAACCGCAGGGGATTAAAGGGGGAAGGGAGCAGAGTCTCCAGCTCCAAAAACCTCTGGATTTTGGAAACCTCCCAGTTCCATTGGGGATTTCAGATTCCTGCCTCAGGTGTGCTGCTCCCACCACTCCCATCCCACCTGGGGGATTTCCTTGGGAATAGGGTGGGATCAGAGATTCCCTGGGGGAATTTCCTCATCCTTGGCATGGGACAGGAGATTCCCTGGGATACCCGCGGCCATCCCAAAGGTCCGGCTGGGAATATTCCCAGGGGTTGGAGCAACACCAGATGTTCCCAAATTCCAGCTGAGCTGCAGGAGCCAGGGGAGACAGGAGGGTGAAGAACCTGGGCAGATGCCAGGAAATCCAGAATTTTGGGATGAGAGGGAGAATTATGGGAATTCAGCTGGAGGGAAAGAGGGATGAACCCGCAACCAGATCCCTCAAATCCCAATTCCCTTCAAATCCAGACCCAAGGGCTCCAAAGTCACCCATTTTAGGTAACATTACAACCAAAATTAAAAATATTCCTGTAATTATGGGATAGCCCAAAATGTGGGACCTTCCTGACATCCCTGACCCTGACCGAGCCCTTTTTGGGATGATTCCTGGGATCCAAGTCCATCCCTGGATTTAATCCCTCGACAGCTGCAGGCGCCAGATGTGCCCGGAATTTGAAGGGATGAGAACGGGGGAATTCCGGGGAGAGAGAATTGGGATTTTCTACTGCCAGCCCCAGATGCGGGAATTAAACCCTCCTGGATTTATGGGCTCAGCAGGAAAAATCGTCCGGATTTTTCCTCAGGAAGGGAAGGGGAGAGGGGCCTGGGGGTGGGAATGGCCTGGTGAGAATGCCCTTTTCCCAGTTTTCGGGGTAGATTTCCTGCCCCTTTTCCCTGGTTTTTTTTGGGTGGATTTTCCTGCCCTTTTCCCAGTTTTCTGGGCGGACTTTCCTGTCCCCTTTCCCTGGGTTTTTGGGTGCATTTTCCTGGCCTTCCCTATTTTCTGGGTGGATTTTCCTGCTCCTTTCCCCATTTTTTTGGCTGGATTTTCTGGGTGGATTTTCCCGCCCCTTTTCCCATTTTCCTGGGGGATTTTCCCCAGTACCTTCTCAGCAGCCACGGCCACAGGTGCTGGGGGAAGGCTGCTGGGGGACTCCGGCCGCTTTTTGTGCTTCTGCTTCGGCCTCTCCTTGTCCTTGCGGCTCTGGAAAAAAAACCAGGAACCTCTGGAATGCCGGAATTCCCAACACTGGGAAGGGCAGAGCCAGATCCCATAAAGAAATTTTAATAAATCCCCATTCCAGCAGTTTTCCAGCACCTGATCCCATAAACAAATCCTGTGAATTTGGGGGATTTTGGGAGTTTTGGAGATTTTCTCACCTTTTTTGGCCGCTCGTGGTGGGACAGGTGCTTTTCCTGGGCTGGGGATGCTGAGCGGCTCCTCCTGCCCGGGAGGAAGGAGCTGCTCCCGGAATGGCGCGAGGTCTTCTGGGGGAAAACAGGAGGAAAATGGGGAAAAAGGGGGGAAAACAGGAAAAAAAAACAGAGGGAAAGGGGGAAAGGAAAGAAGGGAAAGGGGAAAAAATAGAGGGAAAAGGGGGAAAATGAGGAAAAAGGGAAAAAAAGGGGGAAGGGGGAAAGAAAAGAGGGAAAGGGGAAAAAAAGAAGGAAAAGGGGGAAGAAGATGAAAAAGGATGAAAAAAGATTGAAAAGGAGAAGAGAGAAAAGGGCAAGAAAAATAAACTATTTTTTTTTTAATAAATGAAAGTTCCCTAAATAAATAAAATTCCCTAAATAAATCAAACCCACCAAATAAAATAAAAATTCCTGAAATACATGAAAATTTCCAAAATAAATAAAAAATGTCCTCAAGAAATGAAATTCCTAAAACAAATGAAATTCCCTGAATAAATAAAAGTTCTCTAAATAATTGGGAAGCCCAGAATCCCTGGAATTCCTGGATCTCACCATTTTGTTGAAGTGGTATTTGCAGTAGCCGCAGTATTTGACATTGTCAACCTCCAGCACCTCCTCCTCACACAGGAGCCCGGCCATCTGTGCACTGATCCCAGGAAAAACAGGGAAAATCCAGGAAAATCGGAGGGAAAACAGGGAAAAAATGGGAAAATTGGTAGGAAAACAGGGGAAACTCGAGAAAATCAGCAGGAAAATGGAGGAAAAAAAAGAAAAATCAGCAGGGAAAAAAAAAAAAAAGAAAAATCCATCAGATTCCACAGGTTCCGATGGAATTCCTGAACTTTGGGAACTTCCTGGAAAAACCTGGAAAAATCTCCAGGGTGAGGAGGAAGAAGGGGCAATTCCAGTCCTAAATAACCCCATGGGGGGGATCAACCCCAAACCCCACAACCCTGAGGGAACGAGCCCCCCGAGCCAGGGCAGGGAAGGAGCAGCTGGGGGCACATTCCAGAGGGAATTCCCGGGGATCTCACCAGGTGACGTGGAAAGCCTGGCGGCAGCCGTGGCGGTTGCAGGCCATGCAGGCCCCCGAGGCCGCCTTGCTCTCCCGCCCTTGCTCCTCGCAGATGTAGCAGGTCTGGGAAGGGGGAAAAAAAACAGGAAAAAACCACATTTTCCAAGAGGAAAAGCCTCCAGGGATTCCCAAATCTCATGGAATGTGTTGGGTCGGGAGGGGTTTTGAAGCTTGGTGAGTGCCAACCTTTCCCACCTTCCACTCCTGTCAAGGAATTTCTGGGGCATCGAGGAAATTTTGAGGGATTTCTATGAATCCAGGATACTCCCCGGTGGGATACACAAAACTTTTCCTTTTTCCCCAAAATCCCAACCATCCCATTGGAATCAACATGGAATTCCATGGATTCCTTTGGTTCCAGTTGTTCCACCATGAAATTCCTCAAATTCCCATTTTCTCCCCCAAAACCCATCCAAATATGGAGGATCTAACACAGAATTCCATAGATTCAGTTGGCTCAAGTCGTCCCACCAAGAAATTCCTGAAATTCCCATTTTCTCCCCAAAAATACGGAGGATCCAACAACGAATTCCATGGATCCAACTGATTCCCATCGTTCCACAAAGAAATTCCTCAAATTCCATCAATTTGGGGAAGATAGATGGGGAAGACCAAAAATTTCCTAGCAAATCCAGGGATTTCCTTGGTTTTTAATGGAATCTGAGCAGCTGTGGGGTCAGGATAATCCGGGAAGGAGCTGTGGGGAGACGGGATGATCCCAAAATCCCGAAATCCCAGATTTTACCTTGTTGAAGCGGTCATGGGGGACGTACTGGAGCACGATGGGCTCCATGGTGAGCACGTTGGCAAACTGCACCTCGGGGATGTACAGGGCACACACCACATGGGCCCAGCCTGGAAAAGGAAGGGAAAATGGGAATTCAGTCTGGGAACCCCCCCAAAAAAAAAATTCCATGCCAGAAAAATCTTCTGTCCCCAAAAACCCCATGCCAAAAAAACTACACATCAAAAACATCTCTGTTGCAAAAAATATCCTCCATCCTAAAAAAAGTTCCATGCCAAAATAGCCTCTATTTTGGCATGGAACCCAAAAATTCTTCACCCGCCCAAAAAAATCTCAATCCTTAAAAGCTTCTGTGCCTAAAAAACCTCCATCCCAAAAATTCCCGTCCCAAAAAACCTCTGTCTCCATAAAAAACTCCATCTCAAAAAATTCCATCCCCAAAAACCTGCAGGAAAATCCTGCATGGAAAATCCTCTGGGATGGGGCCTGGATCCCACCGTGATCCCACAGATTGGGAAATTCCTGTGGGATCAACCCCAAAATCCCACAATTTTGGGCTCATTTTGATTCCAATCCAAGCTCAGGCAGGGAAAAAACCACCTCCTTTGGTGGAGGCTCCAAAAAGGGAATTTTGTGGGCAAAAGGGGGAGGGTGGATTTTGGGATTTTCCAGGTGGGAATTCCATGGCTCACCCCCATTGTCCGTGCGCTTCAGGGCTCCATCCTTGTGGGGACACAGCTCACACCTCTGGAAGGGAGATAAAACACCAAAATTCACCCAATTTCATTGATAAAATTCAAATTTCATCAGCTGTAATTGATAAAATTTAAATTTAATAAATAAAATTTGTCAGATTTCAGCTATAAAATTCAGATTCCGTCAGGTTTAACTAGGTTTAATTGATGACATTGAAATTTCATCAATAAAATTCAAATTTCATGGAAAAAATTGAAATTTAATCAATAAAACTTGAATTTCAATCCAAATTTAATCAATAAAACTGAAATTTAATCCCAAAAATGCAAATTTCATCAATAAAATTCAAATTAAATAAAGTTTAATCTATAAAATTCAAATTAAATCTATAAAATTCAAATTGAATAAAAATTAATCAATAAAATTCAAATTTCATCCATTTAATTCCAAGTTTAGGACCAGAAAATCCCTATTTTTGCCCCAAAAAGGAGCTGCTGCCAGAACAGGGCTGTGGGAATGAGGACTGAGGAGGTTATGGGGAACAAACACCTCAAAAAAAGCCCTAAAAATTTGATTTAAATGCCCAGGGCAAAGTTTTGCTTTTGGGGCTTTTTTAGGGCCAGTTTTAGGGGCTGTGGTTGAGGAGTAAAACCAAAAGCGGCAACTCAGAGTAAAAAAGAAATTGAGTTTTTATCTCTCTCTGCTCCTTCTTTCCGCCTCTCATGAGGTTTTCTCCCTCCAGTTTTCGGGAGAAGTTTTGGTTGTATGGTCGTGATTGAGTTTGGTGTCACCCCAAATCCAGGCTGAGAGGGTGTGGCATTGTTTTTGGGGTGCCCCAAAATCTGGTGTAGGAAAATCTCTCCTGTGATTTCTTTTTGGGGGTTTTTGAATTTTTAAACAGGCCCCACACCCAAAAATCTTGGAGAACTCCATCCATTATTTTTCCCTACTCACCACTCGGGCGGCTCTTTCCTGGGATTCGCATTTCCGGCAGAACCAGGGGCCGGTGGGAACCTGGACAATTCCATAACAAGCTGGAGGAAAAGGCAAAAAACCCCAAATTAAACAATTTTAAATCCATTCATTTCTGATTTCTTGGGGGTTTAAAGATGCTTGGAGCAGGCTGGAAATAAACAGGAGGAAAATCAGGGAGAAAAACAAGCTCAGCACCAAGAAATCTTGAGAGAAAAAAAAGCAAAATAAACAAAATAAAATTAAAAAAAAAAAGTAAAATATTGAGGAAACCATGAGTGGTAAATGGAGGCCCCTAAAAAGGATTAAGAGCATTTATAAATTGTATTTTTTGCTCATTTTTGACCTTTTTTTCCCCTTGTTTTGGGGATTTTCTCCTCTTTGGAACACAACTTTTCATTAAAAATTCAGGATATTCATGGAACTATCTGATGGAAAACAAGAGCTCTATAAAGGAGTTAACGCCATTAATAATTTTTATTTTCAGCTCATATTCTGCATTTTCCCCTTGTTTTTCCCTGTTTTCCCCTGGCAGCCCCTACTGGCTCCAGCTGAGCTCGTTCTTGGCTCTCAGCCTGGGCTAAAGATGGACCCGGGGCTTCCCGGGAATTTCACTCTCCCTGTTTACTTCCCACTTTTCTTCCCAGTTTTACCCCATTTTCCCCTGCTTTTTCCCTGTTTTTTACCATTTATCCCTGTTTTTTCCTCTTTTTTCTCGCTGTTTATTTCCCGTTTTCTTCCCTGTTTTTCTCTGAGTCCCCAGGGTTCCTTTTTGGGGTTTGAGTTATTTGGGGAATAAAAACCTCCCCAAAGCCGCAGGGGCTGGGCTGGGCTCCAAAAGGGGAATCACCACATCCTGCAGGGCCCCCAAAAACCCCAAATAAACTCCTTGAACTTCCCACAGGCACAGACTGAGACTCAAACCAGGCTCAGAGACTTTTCCTGATCCTCTGGAGCTGGTCCTGCACTTCTGAAACTCTTCTTGAAAATCTGAAATTTTTCTTGAAAATCTGAAACTCTTCTTGATGGTCTGAAACTGTTTTTGAAAATCTGATACTGTTCCTGACCCTTAAAAGCTGTTATTGAATATTTGGAACTCAGCCCGACACTCTGGAACTGCTCCCGACCCCTAAAAACTGTTCCTGACCCCCTGAAATTCCTCCTGTGCTTCTGGAACTCTTCTTGAAAATCTGAAACTCTTAGTGATGCTCTGGCACTGTTCTTGAAAATCTGAAACTGTTCCTGACCCTCTGGAGCTGCTCCTGCACTTCTGAAACTCTTCTTGAAAATCCAAAACTCTTCCTGACCCTCTGGATCTAGTTTTGAAAATCCCAAACTCTTCCTAATGCTCTAGAACAGTTCTTGAAAATTTGAAACTGCTCCTGATCCTTAAAAACTGTTCCTGACCCTCTGGAACTTCTCCTGTGCTTCTAAAACTCTTCTTGAGAATCCAAAACTGTTCCTGATGCTCCGGAACTGTTCTTGAAAATCTGAACCTGTTCCTGCCCCTCTGGATCTGGTTTGGAAAATCCACAACTCCTCCTAAGACTCTGGAACAGCTCTTGCTTCTCTCAAACTGTTCCTGACCCTCTGAAGCTGTTCTGGACACAGGATCACAGACAGGGCTGGACACAGGGACAGGGACAGAGCTGGACACAGGGACAGGGATGGACAGAAGGACAGGGACAGGGCTGGACACAGGGACAGGGGTAGGGCTGGACCCACGGACACCCAGAACCAGAAGCGAGCACAGGGAATGGACGAGAGTGAGCAGGAGGAGCTGGAGATGCACCGGGACGGGAATGGGATAAAAGCAACAACCGGGACAGGGATGGGCAAACAACAACCGGGATATTGATGGGAAAAAACAACAACTGGGAAATTGATGGGATAAAACGACAACTGGGAAATTGACAGGCTAAAACAACAACCGGGACAGGGATGGGACAACAACAACCGGGACAGGAACGGGATAACATCAGCCGGGAAAACAGCGCGGCCCGAGCAGCCCGGAACCCTGGGCGCGTTCCAAACAAACCGAGCAGGGATCGCCACTCCTCCGCTGCCTCGAATACCGATTTTAATCCGGATTTGTTTTGTTCACCGAGCCGACGACAAACTTTCCGGGCCCGCTACCGAGCGCTGGGGGCGGGCTCGGAGTCATTTAAAATGCAAATCGCCCGTGTCGCCGGGAGCAGCGGGCGGAGGAGGCGGAGGCGGAGGAGGAGGAGGAGGGAGGCTGCCTTCCTCCCTCCCTACCCTCGCAGGAGGCAGCTCCGGGCCCCGCCGCCCCCTCCGGTTTTTCCCCGCGCCCCCCGGCACCCCCGGGCCGGGCTGGGGGCGGCAGCGCCTCTTCCCCCCCTTCCCCTCCCCGCTAAACCGGGGGGGCAGCGGAGAAATCCCCCCGCTCGCCACCCCCGGGGCGGCTCCGCTGCTGCCCCAACTCCTGCCCGGCCGTGTCCCCGCCGCGTCCCCCCCTCCGCGGCCGCGCCACCTCGGCGGCGACACCGTTATTTGGAACAATAGCGCTAAAACAAAGCGCGCCCCCCCCGCCGCCGCCGCCCCCATCCTCACCCCGCCCCGTCCCCGGGGGGTTTCGGGGGGCTCGGGGAGGGGCTCGGGGGGGGCCGTGCCGGGCTCACCTTGGTGCACGGCCACATTGCAGCCGTGGCCGTCGCAGTAGACGAGCGGGTTCTCCGCCCAGCCGCGCTCGTCGGAACACACACAGCAGCCTCCCACCATCTCCTTCATACTTCCAGGAGGGTTTCCTGCCCCCCCGCCTCCCTCTGCGCGCTCCTCCTCCTCCTCCTCCTCCTCCTCCTCCTCCTCCTCCGTGCTGCCCCCTCCCCGCCTCTCCCGGGGGGACCGCCGGGGGGGACAGCGGGGACAGCGAGAAGCCGCAAGAGCGGGCGGGGCGAGGGGCTGATGAAGGGACCGGGGGACAGCGCGGGGACAGCGGGGGGTGACGGATGTGGCCCCGCACCACGCAGGTCCCCCCCTCCCTTTCTGCCTGTCCCCCTCTTTCTGCTCGTTCCCCTCCCGTTTATTCCCGTCCCCCCCGTTTATCCCGGTCCCCCCTCTTGTCCCCGTCCCCCCCGGTTCGTCCCCATCGCCCCCAGTTTGTCCCAGTCCCCCCCAGTTTGTCCCCGTGTCCCCGTCCCCCCCCTCCCCGGTACAATCATGGCGGCGCCGCCCGCACGCTCCGGTAAAATTTGCGGTTCACGGATCTCGGCGCGGCCGGGCGGGCGGGTTTGCGCGCGGGTGATATTTTGGATTTTTTGGGGATTTTTTGAACCATTCCCCAAGGCTTTGGGATGAGGGTTTTGGGGTTTTTTCCCCCTCCAGCCTCCTGTGCCCGGCTGGCATCGCGCTGAGGATGCGTTCCCCATGGAGCGCTCCGCAGGGATGAGCCGGCAGCGCTCCGTAAATCCCATTATCCCGAAATTCCCGGATCCCGGCTCCGCCAGCGCCACCGGCTGTCCTGGCCCGAGACTCCTCTAGAAAAGGGATTTAACCCCTTGGCACCTTGGGAACAAGAAAAATGTTCCTTCCCCCCTTGGGGGTTTGTGAGAGGCAGGAGGGGCGGTGGGAATCAGCGGGAAAGCAGGGAAATTATCCTGGAATATCGGGAATATTTATTTATGGGATTGTGTGAGCAGGGAATGAGTGAAGAGAAAGGATCTTGAAATATTGGGAATATTCATTTAGGGGATAGCACCTGTATGAAAGGAGTCGAGAGAAATTATCCTGAAATATTGGGAATATTTATTTAGGGAATTACACATGCTGGAAATGAGTGAAAAGATCCTAAATATTTGGAATATTTCTTTTCTGGGCTCTTTTATCCCCCCACCCCTTATACTCCTGGAGAGTTTTGGGATGGATTTCCTGGCACAACATTCTCCCCCAAACACTCCAATCCCAAATCAGCCACAATTCCTGAGGAGTTATAGGGTTTTCACACCATTCATCCTTCCTGCTCTGAATATTCTATAATTTTAACATTTCCAACATAATCCTGAGCCTCCTTTTCCTCATCCCAAAAAACTTTGGGATCTCAGCCTGGCCCATCCTGCGATTTCTTTCAACCCAAGCCCAAAAATTCTGATTTTTTGAGCACCCCTCAAGCATTCCACCCACGATTTTCCCTTTATCCCAATCCCTGAAAATCCATGCAGGGGCGGGAATTCACTCAGCCTGAACTCCCTTTTTTCCAAGGATTTCCCCCCTTTCCCCCCCCCCCCCCCTTTTTCCCCTTTTCCTTTTATCTTTTGTGTTTAAGAAATTCTGGCCTTTGTATCCTGAAGATTTGGGATTGTCCTGGTATCAGATTCGGGATTTCCTCCCTTCCCTTGTCCGTGGAGATCCTTGGACTTGAACTTTGAAAGGATTAAATTCCTATTTAATGGAAATTAAATTCCAATGAATTCTATTTAAATTCCATTTAAATTCCAGTGCCCAATGTCTGCTGCCTCTTGCCCAGTGCCCAGCACCCAGTCACCACTTTGCCCACTTTGCTGTGGCCAGTACCCAGTACCTGGTGCCCAACACCTCCTGCCTGGTGTCCAGTCCCCAGTGTCCACTGCCCACTGCCCGGTGCCCACTGCCCGGTGCCCTGTGCCACTGCCAGGTCTCTGGTGTCCTGTGCCCTGTGCCCGGTGTCCTGTGCCTGGTGCCCAGTGCCCGGTGCCCTGTGCCCGTTGCCCGGTCCCCGGTGCCCTGTGCCCGGTGTCCTGTGCCCGTTGCCAGGTCTCTGGTGTCCTGTGCCCTGTGCCCAGTGTTCTGTGTCCTGTGCCCTGTGTCCTGTGCCCGGTGCCCGGTCCCTGGTGCCCTGTGCCCTGTGCCCGGTGCCCTGTGCCCGGTACCCGGTCCCTGGTGCCCTGTGCCCTGTGCCCGGTACCCGGTCCCTGGTGCCCTGTGCCCTGTGCCCGGTGCCCAGTCCCCGGTGCCCGCTGTGCACGGGGCGGGCCCGGGGCGGCGGCGGGGGCGGGCAGGAAGCGCCCGCGGCCCCTCGGGCTCGGAGCCGCATCCGGCCGGGGGCTGCGGAGGCGCAGGAAACGGGGAGGGGAACGGGGAGAGGGGGGAGTGGAGCAGGGAGGAGGGGGGAGAGGGGGGAGAGAGGAGCAGCCCTGGGCAGTGGAGGGACACAGGGGAACCTCCAAGAGGCACATCTGGATCCTCACACATCCATCCCTCCATCATCCCTCCATCCATCCATCCATCCATCCATCCATCCATCCCTCCATCCCTCCATCCATCATCCATCCATCCATCCATCCATCCATCCCTCCATCCCTCCATCCATCCATCCATCCATCATCCATCCATCCATCCATCCATCATCCCTCCATCCATCCATCCATCCATCCATCCCTCCATCCCTCCATCCATCATCCATCCATCCATCCATCCATCCATGCATCCATCCATCCATCCATCCATCATCCATCCATCAAACCATCCATCCATCCATCCATCATCCATCCATCCATGGATCCCATCCCTCCTCTCTCAGGACAAGTTGGAGATTTGGGATTCTCCAGTCTGGCAAGGAGAAGTTCCAAGGACACCCCAGAGCCTTTCCAGGGCCTCAAGGAGATCCAGGAGAGCTGCAGAGGGGACAGGACACAGGGATGGAGGAACAGGACACAGGGAATGGCTTCCACTCCCGCAGGGCAGGGATGGATGGAATTTTGGGCAGGAATTCCTGGCTGGGAATTTCAAAAGCAGCTGTGGCTGCTCCATCCCTGGAAGTGTCCCAGGCCAGGTGTGACAGGGTTTAGGCCATCCTGGGACATGGGGAGGTGGCCCTGCCATGGCGGGGATGGCACTGGAGGGAATTTCAGGTCCTGTCCTACCCAAACCGTCCAAGATCCTTCAGTTCCTCAGATCTAGAAAATTCCCAACTCGGAGCCCGCCCAAAGCCCTGAGGGACCAGCAGGAGGGGACAGGGTGGGGACAAGGTGGGACAGATTTTGGATGAGTTGGAATTTTCCACTCCCCTCAGTTGCTCATTAGGAATTCTGGGGCTGTGACCCGGGAATTAATAATTGCTGAGTGATTAACTGATTAATTAATTAATTAATTAATCATGACTAGGCCTTTGGCAGACAAAAAGCAGCCAGATTCTGGCATCTTCGAGGTTTCCCCCCAAAAATATGTGGAAGAAGTCACTGACACTGCTCCAGCATGGATCAGAACAAACTAATGAGTCATTAACGAGTAATTAATGAGTGACACCAATCAGCTCAGCCCTGACTCACATCCGTCCCGAGGCTGAAATATATTTTGCGGCTTTGCATGTCCCAGGAATGGGAAATTTTGATGAAACTACCCAAAATGGATGTGAAGGGGTTTGGGATGGGTTTGAGGATTTCCCACGGGTGCTAAAACCAGCTCTAATTAAGCTTCACATTAATTTCATTAGTGGATAAATTGAAACCATCAGTCCCGAGCAGGGCGTGGAGCAGCTGTGGCCCTGTTCTGCAGATTTTTGGGGTGATTTCCTAATTTAGACAAACCCCACTCTCCCCTTCCTCTGCTCCGCCCTGCCTTGGTGACAGCGGCAACACCAAAATAGCGACGGGACCTGAAACTGAAACTGAGATTAGCGGCACCAAAGCTCGGCTTAAAGGGATCTGTGAAGGGTCCGCTCTGCCAGGATGGATTTGGGGGTTTTGGGGGCATTTTCTCCTTTTCTGCTGCTGAGTTATGGTGTTGGGGTGGGGCATTCTCCCCCACGAGGGTTCTGTCACTTCAGTAACCTCAGGTGTCTTCGCCAAATTTTAAAACAAATAAATTTATTTCTTTCATTTCCTTCCCAAATAAAGGATGTGAAGTGGCAAATCCCTGAATCCCGGGACAGGGAATGTTTATTTATGGGGCTGCACCTGCAGGAAAGGAGTAGAGAGAAATTATCCTGAAATATTTTGAATATTTATTTATGGGATTACACTTTCAGGGAATGAGTGAAGTGGAATAATCCTGAAATATTGGGAAAATTTTTGTTTGAGATTGGACCTGCAGATCCCAAAATCTGTGTCCTGACACCTTTGGGATATCCCAGGAAACTCCCCTTGCCTTGGACCCAGAAGAAAACCCAGGAGCAGTTTCCTGGCCGCATTCCTCTTTCTCTTGGGAATAAATTTTGAGGATAAATTCTAATTTATCGGGAATTAAAAATTCCCCTGGGAATTCCATTCCAGCCCCTCGGGCCGGAGGATTCCCCCGAGACCCGGGGCAGGCAGCCAGGGACTTCTGCTGGGAGAAGCTTAAAAATGCCCTTTTTTCCCGCAAAATCGCGGCCGGGCAGGCGGTGGGAGGGAGCCCTGCGGAGGGTGCCAGCAGCTCGGGTGTCCCCACAGCCCCCTGGGACAGCCCCCCTGTTCCCCACCGCATCCCAATGGGATCCCCATCCTGGAGCTCACCTCAATGGGATCCTGCAGCTCATCCCACGAGGATCATCATTCCTGCACCTCATCCTTCTGGGATCATCATTCCCGCAGCTCATCCAAGATTGCCACTCCTCACCACATCCCATTGGGATTCCCAGCCTGGAGCTCACCCCAATGGGATCCTACAGCTCTTGCCTTTGCGATCATCATTTTCCAGCTCATCCCGATCCCTCCCTGCATCCGAGATTGGAGCTGGGAATTCCCTCAAAAAAAGGGAAATTTTCAATTAACAAAAAAAGAAGAAGAATTTTTAACCCAGAGCAATGGGAATTTTTAATTCAAACATGGGAATTTTAAACTCAAAGAAATGGGAATT